TTCCTTATGATTAAACCTTTTTCCTTGCTTATTTTTGACCAATTTTATGCTCCTACTGTTTTTTAACTCGACTTTGTTAAAGTCCTAATTTTTAAGATTTTCTTTGCTTTGGTTCTATGTGTTAGCATGATTTTCTTTCCCTTGGTTCTGTGTGTTAGCATGATTCTCTTTGCCTTGGTTCTGTGTGTTAGCCTGTTTACTTGATTCTTGTTGATCTCTCGTGGTCACTAGGCTTCGAATGTGTTTACTGAATTCCTAGCCTACTTATGTCACTTCTGTGTGACCATGCTCACTTTGTTTGTTTATCTCTTGCTTCTTGCTGTCAATATGGCTAACCTTGCCCTTTGCTACGTCTATTGAGCTCCTCTATTTATATGTTGAACATAAAGAATCATGACTCCCTCTTGATTGATTCTGATTTCCTTAATTGATGGAGATTGAAAGATTTTCTTTTAAAGCCTTACAAGCTTTACCCCGTCTCTTTAAGCTGACTGATTTCCTTGCCATAGTTGCTATGATACTTATTTCTATTGAGTTGTGTCCTTAATTAAGGCTCTACGAATTTGGTCCTAATCGGCTACTCTATGCATATTGAACCTTGACTCCTTCCTTATTTAGTCATGCACTGATCTTTTTTCTTGCCTTATATGATATTGAATCTCCTCGTTTGATTTGATTCCCTTAACTTAAGGGAGTACTTCCTTGATTCTCTAATTGATTGATTCTGAGTTCTTAAATTAGTATACTACTATGATTTTTACCTTATTTCACTACCTACTTTCAACTATAAATACCCTAAGTCTTTCATTAACAAGACACTGGTTTTCAAAAAACTACCTCTCTTACTAGAAAATCTCTGCTCTCCCTCTCTCTTGTGCTACTTGCTACTGTTAGCCGGCTGAAAGCCAAGGCTAATCATCTGTCCTCTTTGGTTCTTTCATTCTGCTTACTTCTACCTTCACTGGTATGTCCTAGTTTTGATTTAAAGCTCCAACAATAATATGCTTCTCTTATTGTTTCAGTTTCTTTTATTCCTAGTTTGCTTCTACTTGTGGTTCTGTTGTGGAACTTGTAGTTAAGTTGCCTTATCAGCATGCTATTATGTCTCCCTTTCCCTTTGGATTAATGTATCCCCTTATGTGTGTTTCAAAGCATGCTTTGTCAAATATCTTTTACTTCTTGTGTGCTTACTATCCCATGAATCCCCAAATCCTTATCACCCTTTCTATGTGTTTGTAATTCTCTTGACTGGTGTGTGATTATGCCAGAGTCAACTATCTCTGAGCATGTCCAAACTAGTCCTAAGATCTTTGCTGGGTTGTGCAGCCGAATGTCTATGTATCCCCAACCCCTTGACCCCTGCATGACTACTGAATTCTACAAACTAGCAGTGTGTGATCTTTTCTTAAGGTGTTTAAGCTTGTTTACTACTCCAACCTCTTTTCAAACAATCTTTGTTGCTTTACTAATTGCTTTCAAAACAGACTTTCCAATATAGTCTTTAATAACCCTTTTCAACTTGTATCCTGCACTTCCACTTTACTCTTAGTCAATAAGTTCTGTCCCCTCTAGTATGTGTACTGCCTTGGGTTCCTCTTTAGAGCCCTCTGAACTCTGGCATACTGAGGCTGGCCTTTCCACACTGCACTGGTTCAATTCTTGGTTGCTAAGTCTAGGTGTAAGCGTTGCCGGAGGTTCTTGAGGCCCTTAGGGAACTTTGATGCACCTAGACTCTGATTTGTCTATGGAATTGAGGCTCATGAGGCCATTGGAGGCTTTGCATCAAATAGAAATCATGCCTATAAGATTTCACTTCCAATGTCGTTTGCATTAGATAGAAACCATGTCCATAAGATTCTGCATTTGTCATGTTTGAGACCATGTTTCTAGGTTCCAAATCATCATGTCTTAAATCAATCCAAGTATAGATATCATGCCTATAGGACTTTATTACGAGTCAGTTCTAATGAGTCTTTCCTCATGTTACTGCAAATTGACCAAAACCAGTAATACGCCTAGGTACCATACCTATAGGGATTTCTATTCGCAACTATGTCTGATAATCTAATTAGCCTAATAAATCAATTTCATTTCGCCTAGTTTATTTCTTAAAACTGGTCTTATTAAGTGTCAACATTTCCTGAAACCAGTCCCTTCGTAATTGCTTTAATCTCATTAGATATCCTGCCTATAGGTATTAAAAGGGTCTATTTCGAAAACTTGTTTGTTTCTGCATCAATATAGACATAGTATGTTGCATATAGGCAAGCCTTAGGGCATTCTCAAGACTGCATTCCCCTGAAGCTCTTTCTCTGCTGTTTAATGTTTCTTATTCTAATAACTTTTAAAAGAATCCATAGGCAGCTACTAGGTTACAACTTCTGGGTATAAAGTTTGGTCTGTTTCTGCACATTCACTTAGAGATCCTGCTTTAGGACTTTAAAGACCTTAATTGTGCTTGAGATGTGCTTCTTGTGTGTATTTTTGAGGAGGGAACTGTGAGCCTCGTAATTGCTCCCATTATGTGAAAGTCCTAAATGTTTTGACTATTGCCTTAGAATTTTCGCCTTTTAAAACCTTAGGGGTACGTCTAGAACTACCTATAGGTAGAGGTCCTAACTCCCTCCAGGACCATTGAGAAAGGACGGGTAGCAGCACGCAATAGAGATCGCTGACCAACACTCGCTTTGCATGACCAATAAGAGGATGGGAAGGGTAGACATGGATATGATGACCGGTGCGCTAATGCCACACATAGCCCCTTTTTAAGGAGTGATTACCGGGCATTGTACTGATGTGATCCTATAGGCTAACCAACCTAGGACCTCCCTCTTCCCCCAAACCCTCTTTGCTTGAAACTCTATTTTTCCCTTTTTTTTACAACCTGTTTAAATTCTTATTTTATACAATGCCCAACATGCTCTATTTGCAATCATTTGCTTCAGTTATTTGTTTATGGACTAATTTGTGAATATTAGTTCGGCCGGGACCCACAGTTGTGGACCAAGAGGGGTGGCTAACACCTTCCCCTCGAGGTTACTTCGAGCCCTTACCCTAATCTCTGGTAATGCAAACCAACCCAAGAGTTAATTACTCTAGGTGCCCTAACGCACTTTAAATCGTTAGGTGGCGACTCTTCAAATACCCAATTCCCAAAAGGAAATGAGTCATTACACCCCGTGAATGTCGAAACCCAGACTTCTCCCCGCGGAGGAAAAAGGGGGCGCGACATCACCAATGGTGATAGATGTTGCGACTGGTGATTCTAGTGGAACTTGGATGCAGATTCTCGCATATGTCCCCCTTAGTGTTGCTGAGGTGCACGTATCAATCTTGAGAAGCTTCCCAAGCTTCCTGCCAACTTTTTCTAGAACTTCTTTGTCAGAATTCGGTGGGCAGTTGGGGAAGTCGTACCCATATCGCAGTGAAAGATAGGGTGGCTTCTTGTGGGACAAATTTTGGTTGCCACTGTCTAACAGAGAGGAAACTTCCGGATACGAACCATGGGCCTTGGTGTATAGCCTTGATCAAGTTTTCTTCCTTACCAAACTTGACTATGAAGAAGTCCCATCCTAGGTCAATCAAGAGTAAATGTTCGGATGGGTTCCATAGTTCAATTAATTTGGATCGGAGAAAATGATGTGGCATATGCCGGCCAAAAGTTTAATGATGACCGAGAAGCGCCATGGCTCATATAATCTATTTTTGTCCTCTTGGGAGAGAAGGATTGGGCGTAGATTTTTCTTGCCCTTTAGATTATATTCTGACCTTTCAAGATCCGATACAAAGTAGTCTGTTTGTCAGGTGTCCTGTCTGTCAAGAAGCATTTCTTTGTAGGAGTGTGTTTGGTTGGTATCTTCCTCCATGTGGTTCGTATCCGGTGGTATGTCAGGTATTTTGGATGTGTTGTCCATTGGGTTGGGTGCAGTGAGAGATGAGAGTCTCTCTCTAGCAAATTTTAAGAAGACTAAGCTAATAGAACGACAGAGGCATACAAAGATTTAAGTCTAAAGTGAAAGGGTGTTTTTGTCATTTTTTATTTTAATCCATGTATTATGTAATACATATATTCTTATATCACATTCTACCCCACACAAATAATACAAACATTGTATATTTTATACAGGTATTATCTAATATGGTTTAAAAAAAAGAAAGAAGAATCTAACCGAACATTGTATAATCTATGATGGATTCTACACCAATATTAACTCTTCTTACAATACTAACCAACTAATGTAATAAATTTTAAATAGTTTTATACAAGGATTAATTCTCCCTATCTGCAACAAACAACCCCTTAAAGTGTTTATGTTCAGATATAGTAAAACACATTTACATAGTATTCAAATCAATGATAACGATATTACAGAACAAATCTTTAATCTCATAAAAATAAAAACTGACTTTGTTATAGCAGATTAATTTATACTAATGGTGTACAAATATATACTCAATTGATCTATGCAAGTTAAATCCTTATAAATAACATCTAAATAAACAATTAAGAAAGCATGTTAAATGGAAATGTCATTAGCAACAATTTGACGAGGCCCTGCAACAGTGCGCACTGCGCAGCACCAAAACAGTAAATTAATCTCAAAATTAAATTTGAGATGAATTTATCTCATATTTTATTGAAATAAAATTACGATATAACTAATTTCGAAATTTATTCTAGGTTGTAATACTATTTTTTATTTGTTTGAAAGGTACAATAACAATCCCGACATAACTAATTTTAAAAGACAAAAATTATCTTACACACTAACCTTTTTAAAAACTGTGTTTATGACAATACTTTTGTAGTTGATCAGTTTTACAAACACATATCTATGTCACGCACCAATGGCGTTGGGACACGTGTCCTTAATTTTAAAAAGAAAGCAAATATTAGAATTACAAATCTACCCTCGTCTTCTTCTTTCTTAGGTGTCTGTACCTTTTTATAGAGTCAGCACTCAGCTTCTCTTTTATTTGCTTTTTAAATTCATAGCCAACCCTAATCAATTTCAATTCATCCAAACATCAGATTCAGCTTTGTAATTTGAACATGAAATTTCATATTCAAATGTAATTCCGACTTTTCCGGCAATATTGGTTTGAGCATTACTCCACCCAACATCCCAAACAGTAATTACAATATAATTTTCGATCTCAACAACACCGCACTTTTGTTAAAAAAATGTTGATTTTAAAAAATATTTATTTTAAAGTAATAGACTTGAGGTTTGGGTTTCGTTATTCCAGCCACATATAAAATTAAGTGGATTGTTTGCTGCTTGGAATTGATTAAGAACTAATTCCTTGAGCTTAAAAATATTTGAACGGACTGATATAAGGAGGAATTCTGAACTTCCATTATTGAGTTCTTATGAGTTCAAATTAACTAATTTTGCCAATTTGAAATAACAAATTCTGGAATAGCTTGTTCCCAGCCAAACAGACCCCTAATAATTTAGTTAATGGAATCTTGACTTTAAAAAAAATAATTAAAAGACTTTCTTTTTCCTATTCATCACAAATAAGTAAAGTTGAGTCACTGTGTTTACTCACATTCTTCACTCCTCAGTCCAGAAAACCATCGTTTTGCTCCCAATTTCTCTTATTCTGAGTTGACATGTCTACCAGACGCCATCAATCTGATGAAGATCCTCCGGTATTTTAAACTAAAATTTCTTTAATTTTTGCTCTTTAACTTGTATTCGCTTTTTCCAATTTCCTAGACATTCTTTTATTTTTTGTCTTGATTTATTTATTTATTTATTTTACATGCTTATTCTGTGTTAACTGTCAAGTGTTATACATTGATGAAGTGGATATTGTTATCTTATATGATCTTGAGCATTCCTAACCTCACGAGCTAGCTTTTGAGCTGACTTAGCCTAAATGTTCATTTTCTTAACATGGTATCAAAGGTCTGGCCTGAGCTTGCTCTGGTGTTAAAATATCTCATATTGATAAATAGGCAATCTCACCTCATGAGCTACTTCTTAGGTTGAGTTATGTCCAAGGTCCATTTTCTTAACTTTGGATTAGACAAAATTCATTTTAATATATGACCCTCATGTTATCTTGTCCTTGCTTCAAATATCCGGACTTGGGCGTCCGGGAGGTGTTATATGTCCGACAGTGGTTGGGAGAGTGGGTTGTTAACCGCTATCTTCTTTTAGGATTTTGTGCTATTCTTACCATTAGGAGTAAGGTCCATTTTCTTAACATTAACATGACTTATTGTGATACGACAGCACCTTTGATATTTTATGTGCATTTAACTTATATGTTAAAATTATATTCCTTACTTCCACGTCTAGTCAAATAATGCCGAACAAAATGGTTGGAGAAAGTGGCAAATAGCAATTATTGTAAGCATGCTTAAAGTTATGACTATTTGGATTCTTCAATTTCAGGTTATCAAACTTAAGGTTATGATTGACAAGACTAGAAATCGAGTAATCTTTGCAGAGTCGGACCATGAGTTCATTGAAACACTATTGTCATTCTTGACAGTCCCTTTAGGCACAGTTTTAAGACTTCTTGAAAAAGATACGGTTCAACTAGGGTCCATTAGCCGCATCTATGCCAGTGTTTATTCTCTTGAGCCTAGGTTCTTGCGTACAAGCTATTGCAAATCTATGTTGATCATGCCCCGAAACACATCAGAAGTTCAATGTGAAAAGTTGAAGCTCAATGTTGATCATTCAGAGATTGCAGGGAAGTTGTTTGCATGTTCTTCATACTCTTGCAATGAAATCAATAACTTGTATAGTCTCTTTGAGAATGCACGTTGCCGTTGTGGTTCTCCAATGAGATCACCAATAAGTTTTAAAAAGAAAAGAGAGGATGGAAGTTTTTCTGAAGAGTGGTGCAGCGAGCTTTATGATCACCGATGATTTACAGATAATGCCAGCCTCAACTGCTAGCTTAACTGCTTTGTTTGGAAAGCTTGGAGTCAGTGACAAGAATGAAATCGAGGCAAAGACCGTAGAAGTTGGCACTAAAGAGGTAATGCATAAGAGCAGTTCTGAAATCACTGCTTCTCCTTCCAACTATTATCTGGTTTATCATCGCATTTGGTTAGCGAGGTCATGCTGTACTATTAGTTAGGCTTGAGAGAAAAATAAAAATTAAGTATTAGAATGGTGGCAGGTTAGACAATCAGTAAGGTCCAGCCTAGAAGAGTTACACCGACGGGAGGAGCGATAGCTAAATTCTTTTACTTTGGGTGTGTTTGGTATGAGAAAAAACAATTTCCTGAAATTGTTTTTCAATTTTCCCATGTTTAGTTGGCTTAAATGTTTTGGAAAATATTTTTCTGATGAACTTATTGGAGGAGGGAAAATATTTACCTCCAAATTGGTTGGCTTAAATGGCTAAACGAGCACTCTGAACTTTGTCTTATTGTTCATATAAGACATATTTAAGCTCAATTCGAGCGTGCCATTAATGCCTAGGACGAATAAAATTGCATGGCAGAAGTGCTTAAATTGGAATGTCAACTTAGTTTGCATTTTACTCTTTCCTTTACCACATTGTCCGTGCTTTCTTCTTATGGTTTTCATTTTAAGCAAGCACAATTTAGACCACTTTATTGAAACATTAAATTTTACCATCTGCTGCTCTAGGTTTTTCTTCAGCCCTTGTTCAGGATTAAGGTTTAGAGAGAAACTAACACACAGTTCTTGAATAGTTGATGAACTATTGAATTTCGAACTATTGCGTTTCTTCTTGTTCACCCAACTCTTGGAGTAGGGATCTGTTGTTAGGATTTGTGATGCATGTACTCATTGAATGCACCTTTTCGCTCTATTAATGCATATACTATTGATAACTAAGAGTTTCTCATTAAAGAAAGAGGAAAGAGTTACATTTATCCCTCTACCTTCAGATAATGTTTACATTTAACCTTTGTTATACTTTTGAGATATGTATACCCCTACCGTTAGCAAAGTATTCAAATCTACCCATATTTTTAATGGAGGTCCACATGGCCTGACATTTCGATGAGGTGGACACCACGTGGCATGCCACCTCAGCACCCTAACCCCATTTTACCCCTTATGCGATACTATTTCTTCCCCTTCCATTTCTTACGCTGCCACCACTTGTCCCCTTACTTTAAATTGCTTGGAGCTAACTTATACCTATGCTGCAGTATACCAATACAATTGACACTTCTTTGCCGTAATTGCTTGGAGCTAACTTATACCTATGCTGCAGTATACCAATACCATTGACACTTCTTCGCCGTAATTGCTTGGAGCTAACTTACATTATTGATAAGGATCCTTTTGTCCCTAAGCCGGAAAAAAAAAGGAAATAAAGCTTTCTTTGGGTTATCATGGTTTACTTATACTAATCTGTTATAGATAACATGTGACAAAGTTCAGACAATTATTTTTCTTATTTTTTTAGTGTGTATTTCTTCTGCTGGTATGTGGCGGATTGAAATAGTAAGGAAATCACCCAAAACAAAGAAAGAATTGTGAGAAAAGAAACCCCTCTTATTTCCATTATCTTCCTTATGGTTAAAAAATATCTTTCAAAGCAGGACTTATAAACAGAATGACAAATACCAATTTCTGCATCACCCAAGTTTTCTGTTTCAGGCACATAAATATGATTGGGCATTTCTTTTTTGTCACAAACTTCAACAATCATAGATCCATTAAAGAGGTAAGGTTACAGTGTATATTGTGTCATTGCTTCTTCCAAGTAATGAAGTTGCAGTAACCTGGAAAACAAAGAGGGCCTATGTTGATTAAATTGAGTGGGACAAGTGGTGGCGGCATAAGAAATGGAAGGGGAAGAGAAAGTATTGGGGGAGGCGGTAAAATGGGGTTAGGGTAGTGAGGTGGCATGCCACGTGGCGTCCACCTAATTGAAATGTGAGGCCATGTGGACCTCTGTTAAAAATAAGGGTAGATTTGTATACTTTACTAACGGTAAGGGTATATATGTCCCGAAAGTATAACGGAGGTTAAATGTAGACAATATTTGGAAGTAAAGTAAATCTGACCCTTTAGAAGAACATAGGCAAGATTGAAAGGTTATAATTAAGACGCTTTTGCTAATTTCTTGGTTATCTGCTCCATGATCTCTTTATCCACTAACTGATTGAGCTTGCACCGTTACTGAAGTATCCATTTGTATCATCCATTACCACAATAAAACTTTGGTGTTTTTACTTGCCTCTTCTTTTTGTTTCAATTCACATTGTTTCTTGTTTTATTCTGGTTTAGTTAACTTCCCTACCTCATCACTTGATGCATAACCTAATGTAGGTGCTTCAACTGCTGAAAGTTTCATTGCTCTCCAAGACACCTTTGACAGATATGGTATTGACTAGCCAGGGGAATTGGGTGAAAGATACATCAAAGTTTGAAGATTCCCTAAGTGCCAAGTTAGACAAGAAGGCCGTGTCTCAAAACTCAAATAGTATGAGCCTGAAGCTTATAGTTAGCAAAAGTAAGCAAAAGGTTCTGTATGCGGAAGCTGGGGTCAAGCTTGTAGACTTCCTTTTCAGTTTCCTTGCATTCCCTTTAGGGGCTGTGGTAAAGCTTCTAGGTGGAAACTCAAGACTTGGGTGCATCGATAATTTGTACAAGGGCGCTGAGAATTTGAGTTCAGAAAACTATATTAAATCAGAAGAGTGCAAAAATAGGCTACTCTCTCCGAAATTGTTCCCATACTCTGGTTTTGACAGTCATATTCTTCGGGTGGAAGAGGAATGCCCAAAATACCGATATGATGGCTTTGGAGGTTTAGCATTAGTAAGGAACACTAAAAAATCGAGTGATCATCAATAGAATGTGAGGAAGAAGCTAGAAGTTTGGCCATCATTTTGGATCCGAAATCTCCATCAGGAGAAACTATAAAGGGTGAAGGATACTTGAAAGGACCTGCAACATTTATGATATTGGATAATCTTCTAGTGACTCAATTTTCCCCTACCTCGATCATAACTCTTCTTAAACAAATGAAGGTGTCAACCAATGACTTGGAGGAGCGCATTGTATTCATTGGAGAGTATGAGGTATGCCTTCTACTTGATCCCTTTCATTATCTGTTGCTAGATATTTGGAATTCTTTTTGGGGTTTGCTCTGTTTTAGGAACATAATACATTTTAAGATTAATGATGATTTCATGCTTAAACTCTAAAAGTTTATTTCTGACTTTAGAAATAACGTAAGTGATAAATGGAATCGCTCAGTAGGCTTGTTTCCATTTTCGGTTGAGAAAGTAGTTGGCCAGGGGTCCTCTCCGGTAGTGCAACAAAATGGGGTCGGAGACTCCACTATAAAGAAAGAAAGACAATAGGAGTCTCTCAATAGCCGAGTGCCCACTCCCCTCTATGCACTAACTGGAGGGGAAAAGCTTGATTCTCATAGTCCTCTCAATAAGAATGAACCGTTGATAATCTGAAGCGGGTACCCTTGGAAGCCACCCTTCATCCACCAATGCAACACCCAAATTGGAAAACAGAATAAAGAAAGAGAAGGTAGATAAGGACCTCTATGGAAAATTGGCATCTTCTAAACTTGTTAAATCAGCCGAAGGAGACGAATTGAACTGACTATAACGTAGAAAGTAATGATAACTTGTGCAGAAGCAGAAGAACGCAGGTTGAAAACCATAAATTCATATATACAGTATGGAGACTACCAAAAGATTCAAATGTACAATGGATCTAACATGCGTGATTTATTTAATAATTTTATGGAATCGTCGTTGATGGTATTAACTTTTGCAGGCCCTGAATTTGCTGAAAGCTTCTTTAATCTCAAAAACAGTTCTAAATGATGTTTTCAACAGAAGGGAACCCTATCCCGGGGTTATGCTTAAAGTGTGAACTTACAAACACGAAGGAGACGCGATCATCATGGTGTATGTATTTGGTCTAAGAGATGTTATTGCCATATGGACTATTGTGTGAATTTTATCACATCTACTGTTGATTGTATATGTAATATGTACATACTAGCCACCACATTACTTGAACCCGAGTAGGCTGTGGATGAAATTGGCTATGCCAACAAATCTTGTCTTCTTATCTACTGGCAATGTCAACTAATTATGGTGGCTGTTACAGCGTTGCATCTTATTACTACTTTTTTTTGGTTCCAAAAGAGATACATATATTAGCTAGCATCAATACATAAGGTTGTGCTCTTACATTATGGTCATTGTTGAGGAGATGCAAGTGTGAAAGGAGCAAGCAAATAGGAGATTTCGGTTGAAATAACCACAAAAACAATGTTTTAAAATTTTTCCCAAACTTGACAAGATTGGGAAAATGTCAGATATGTCCGCAATTTACTTTATTTAGGGTGCGTTTGGTACGAAGGAAAATATTTTCCATGGGAAATGAGTGGTTTTATCACTTATTTTGCCTTGTTTGGATGGTGAGTGGAAAACATTTTCCGGAAAATATTTTCTATTGTTTGGTTAGAGAGTAGAAAATATTTTTTATGCAATTCTCCTCCCCCCTCCCCCACCCCTTCCTCAAGTCTCTAAAAATTGACACAACCTAAAGGAACTAATGTGCTGCTTTACTTTTTTACGCAAAAACTGCGAACTTTCGAACCCATAAACTTTATAATTTTTAAACCCGTAAACTTTCAAACACATAAACCTCCAAACTCATAATTGTGGAACTTGTAAAATTTTGAACCTGTAAACCGAAAGATGAAAAACTTAAAACTGAAAATATATAAAGAATTTTTTTTTTACGGGGGGGGGGGGGGGGGT